CCATCCACTTTAGGGTCTCAATAATGTAATAGTTTTCTTTTCAAGCCAGTCTCTCAAAGACAGAAAAGACTCAGATAAGAGGTGTGGGCTTTGCCTTCATCTCACCATGACCATTATGACGAGACGACTGGGTTAGTGTGGCAGCGATCCTATAAATACATTCTTCAGAAGCGAGAGACAGTAGGTGAAACCTACTCTCTCTGAGAAGAGGTGAGGCCTCGGACAATCCCATTTCATCCGAATGAGCAACTTAAATAGCAGAAACTATATCTTTGTCTTTTGCCCTCTTGGCCTCCAGAATCATTCGGTTACAATTTTCTCTCTATGAACGAGTCAGTGGCACGGACTTTGAACTGGACCCAATTTCAAACACAGATGGTATCGGAGCAAATGCATCGACTAACTCCTTTTTATATAAAATCCTTTTTCTTTTTGACTATGGTGGGGCAACAGGCGCGATAATAGTAAATTCGATGGAGACGGTAGTAATAGTCCTCACAGTAGTGGGGATGACATACTTGGCGGCAACAGGAACAACAAACCTAGTGGGTGTTCTTTCAACTTTCACCCTCTTAAGAGAAGGGAACTCTTGTTCACTTCTCAAGTTGAACTCGGCTGACGGCTCTTCCACCATTGCAATAACTGTCTTCATGACAACACGGGGTGTTTTTCGAGCGACACCTCGACCTCATCGAAGCCAACTCCAAACTTGATCATTGATCCCAAGAGACGGACAACCTTGTCGGTAGGCAGGAAGAGTCCTCCGACGAATGAGAAAATCAATTTCTAAGATGACATTGTCTTTTTCAATTAAAGAATTTATGAGTGTCGGTGGCGTCCTATGTTTTATTTTCATTGCAATAATTTTAGCACGAATACCGGAATCAACAAAATTCTCTCATGTACTGGGTGTTTCTTTCAAAACTTATCCAAGTAATTTTTAACTTAAATCTGTTTTTGAACTTTCTTTTGATTTGTGTTTGTTTTTATTTTGAAAGTCATTTGGTTTTGTGTGTCGTTTTTACTTTTTTTTTTGAATGTCATTTTGTTTTTTTTTTTATTTTGCATTCTTTTATTTCAGTTTCAAAATTTTGTTTAATTTAGAATTTGAAGTTCATGTTTTGGGTTTGAAGTTTCACATTGTTGAGAAAAGTTTCATGAGTAAAATTTGGCGTGACTTTTTAAAAATAAGTCAAACTCAGAAGAAGGATTAAACGAATGTGAAATATATAATTCGGTCCAAAATTGGAAAGGTTCAATTTCACTACAAACTCACCTCGATATCATTCATAACCTACCACCCTATTAAGGGTCCAACCCATTTTAGAATTTAGAGATTCTGGATCCCTTATGTTTAAGGGTGATTAAATATATGGCTCCAGAATCAAAAGAGTAGTTGTCTATACCTGCCCGAGAAAGAAGTGAGCATGGTTCATCAACAGAAGAACGGTAGTTTAGCCCATGAGAGACACAAACGTACTACCGATGTATGAAGACGAAACCACTTAATCAAATATGGAGAGAAAAATTAGTCCCTAGCAGAGTCACTAGAATTGATCTGTTGTTTTTTTATTTGAAAATAAAAAAAATTAATCTAATATAAATATATATTATGTGTGTGTGTGTGTGTGTGTGTGTACACCACCTTATCTTTGCCTTCCTCTTTTTAAAATTTAGAATAAGGACATTTTGTTGTGGTATGAAAGATTTGGGAGGTGTAAATTTAAAAGGCAAACTCTAGGTTTTAGAAATGTAAATACATAAGAATTGTTATGTTAATGCCCCTAAATTAATGGATGATGAGACTGAACAAATCTCTTATATTCAATGATTTGAATAATTGAGCACAATATTACAAGTAATATTTCATTTCAGAAGATGAGAATATCATTTGATAATAAACTCAACTACTCAAACTTCATATATTTATTTGGTCTGTGAAAGTTCCAACAGATCATTCCCCCACCTGATATGAAAATTATATAGGGTTTAGATTATTTGGGTTACTACTTCTCCTATTGGTGCAAACCCCTATAGTTATTACATCTTAAGCGACCAAAATCACTTAAGAAAACTCTTAATTAAGATCAGTGTTTTGTCTTCAAGAATTCGAAGTTTAATTTTCACGATTGTTTATAGAAAAATCAAGTAGGAATGACTCAATGTGAAACTGTTATTTTAGAAATCAAATGACCGAAAGGTAAGTAATGTCATAGATCCTGAGGAAAACCTCATTAACTTCTCAAACTATCTTATTATTTGGCTTTACATTTTGGAAATGATGTTGTTTTATATTTACTCATGCCATTTTATTTTAAATATATGACTTATATTGCGAGACATACAATCAACACAGACAACCTAGAAATATAGGAGGATTTACGTCTGCCGAACGAACAACCTTGAGATCCTAAAAAACTTTGAGGCTCATATCACATTGCATACAATCATGCAAAAGCCTAAAAGATAGTTTGAGGATTTACGTCGTGCTAGACGAACAACGTCGAAGTCCTAAGGGGTTTATGTTGTTTATGTTTATTGAAAATTTAGTTGATTATCATCATTCACTTCATATTTTATTCTTAATTATCTCTTAAAGTTTTGTCATCGCTTGATCGCGTCGTCTCCTCATACTGTGAAAAGAGAGGGGAAGAGAGAAACCATGCCTCAGGTCGCTTATCCTAAGTTCTTTGTTGTTTGTTTGTTGTGATCATGTGAAATGAATTTTTGAATTAATGTTTATTATTGAAGTGATTAAAGGGGGATTTTATTTTATGTTAAGCGACGCTAGTTAAGATCCCATGGATCCCTCGTTCCGGCACTGCTATTAGATTAAATTTATTTAGTCTAAAGAAGTTGTTAAACTTTATTAAACTAGAAGACTCTTGTTAATAACCATGGGTTGCCTCATCCAAGAAATCTTTGTAAATCCAAAAGGGTGAATTAGTATGAATGTTCATTTACTATATTATTTCTTATTTTATTGAGCGGTTTTACATATATCTCACTGTCGTAAAGTTTAACATTGTCCATTTCATCTGCCCTAGAGTAGCTTTTGCAATCATCTGATGCCTCGACCACGACCAGGCTTACTTCACAAAGGCGCACAAAGAAATTTGTATGAGAAAATGGGAATATGATAAAGTGTTAAGTAGTCATAAGTTCTATGGAAAGAAAGAGAAAATCATGCCTCAAGAAGCCTATCGTAAGTTTTAGTTGTTTGTTTGCTGTGATTTTAGAAAGTGCATTTGAGTTGATGATTGTTGTTGTTTAGGCGGTTATTTTAATACCGTCGTCCAAGTATTACTGTTAGTTTTGAATTTACTTAGTCTAAAAAAGTTGTTAGGGATTTCTTTGACTGAAGAATTCTTGTTAGCAATTGTAGGTTACATTCTCCAATGAATTCTCGTAAATCCAAAAGGGTGGATTATTTTTGTTGTTGTTATTATTGTTATTATTTATAAATGTTTATATATATTGTTATTTTATTATTATTTTTTTTGTAATTATATATATATATATATATAAAATCTTTTATTA